GATCTGGTCTATTGTTCTGGCCGAGGCTTCCCAAGAGCATGAAACAAACTCTTGTCCCGACAAAAAACCCTCTTATTAATTTACTGTCAATTCTGCTCATTCACAGCCGGCAAAGTCTTTCAAAGGAGGATTTACGGTCACAGACCTTATCTGGCTTGGAGAGCTGACAGGCCGATATCTGCAGAACTTGGCAAGGAGTCTCGGAGAGTCACGAACCAATTAGCAAACTAATTGTCTCCTGCAAAATCTACTCGTCTTTTGCTCCTCTTTTATTTCCTCTGGGAGGGGCCATTCATCGTCCAGCTGTGGCCTTACTCCCAAGTCGACCCCTGTTCTTTAGCTGTTCCCTCCATCTGGCAACTCTGCGCACGATCATACTGGGAACAGGCTCCAGCTGTTCCTCTGCCTCACTGATGTCTGACTCTGAAGGCAGCTGATAACTGGCATACGGCCCTGGCCCCCTCTCTGCCCTGACAAAGCCCTCATCAGAGCCTTCCCAAGACTCCAGGATTGGCCCATGTTCCCCCACAACCTCCCCACTGTCCGAATCTGCTGCCAGCTCTGCTGGCTGGACACAATAAGTGCCCTCAGGGTCACCTGAATAGTTCTATACCTGTTTGCACTATTCAGGTAACCCTGAGCGCACAGATACACCTCCAAGTGGATTCAGCGACTCTCAGAGAGAGTACTAATGATCAGATGATTTCAAGGAATATAAATCCTTCTACCCTCCACCATTCAGTCAGAAGTATCTTGGATGAGAAGCGAAACGTTTTCAAGGAGAAAGAAAGTCCAGTTGCCTTTGGAAAAAGCAGCTTTGAGACATGTTCTTATCATCCTCCCAACATGGCGGATGGGAGTTTTTTTACTTTCAACAGTAGAGGGCCACTTTGCAAAAAAGAAACAGTAGATAGTGGGAACGCTTTCGATGGTAGAAAAACAAGTTTCTTTTTGAGCGCTCTTGCGAAGGGATCTTAATTTTCTCCACATTCTTTCTTTTCTCTATCTTACCTTCGTCACTGCCCATAAATGCGCCTCGGGGTGAGTCGGGAATTCCCCCCCAAACATCAATGTTCTTAGGGTAATCCGCGTCGACGGATCGGGTCTCCTCATTGAAGCGATAATACCTGCGTTGCGAAAAGAGAGCGTGTAAAGTTTCCTAACGATCGAGCCAATGTTTTGATACAAAAACCAGTGATTTATTAACAGCTTCATTAGGCATTATTCATTAGGCAAGATTTATCCGCAGCCATTTCTTTGCTTCGTTTATCTGGTTCTGAACGTTGTCCCTATTCCTTTCCTCCCCTCAGTCTGTGTCATAAATCACGTTAACCAATAGATATACCCATCTCAAACCAGCTACTGTAATCTGAGATCCGGCTCCGCCGACGGTCAACATGGAGAGTTGACAGAATGTTGAGATCATAAGTGGTATTCAGCCGGTTCGGATCGGTTCACCCGAACCGGTTGCGGCAACCTGCGGGTGGGCCTGCCCACCCACCTTGGCTCCAAAACATCCTGTCTAGCCCCATTTTCGACGCTACGCATATTCGTGCACACCACACATGTGAGCAAAGCGCCTGCGTGGAAGGCCACACGTATGTGTGGAAGGGGAACACACATTTGTGAAACGGTGGTAAACCTATGTGAATCCCACCACTTGTTGAGATCCATTCACCGAAAAATAGGCCGATTTAAGGAGTGGGTTGGACTAAAAGATCTCGAGGGTCCCATCCGACTCTTACAAGTCTATGATGGGAACTAGGTACTGCTTCATCAAAACTTTCAGGAAGGCTGCAATGTCAATTGCTAAATCTGTTGCGACTTCTGACACACAAAGTGTTCTGACCTAAGCTTCCCCAGTAACACGAAGTCCTCGTCCCAATAAACCCCTTTTATTTAATTTACAGTGAATTCCTCTCCAGCAAGGTGTTTCCTTTCCCACAGTCTTTCAAGATAGTTCACAATTACCGACCTTTATCAGGCTTGGAGAGTGGCCAGGC